GAATTCAGGTTTAGCAATCCCAAAAGCATTGTACCTACTAGTCAAAATTCATTACATGCCTCAGGAATAACTTTGAGCACGGGATTAAAACTCTAATAATGTTTTATTGTAACATGTGATAAATAACTAAGTGCATTTCACAGGGTCTACGACATTTAGAGTGTATGCGATAATTCATGAAACAGAAATCTAATAATAAAATGATAAATTTGGAACAAATACATTGAAGATAAATTTTTCGAGACAAAACATCTGAATCTGGTTTGGGAAGAGGCAGTACAGTATTGGGGGTCATGAAGGCTTGTAAGAAATGTAATAAAATTTCCAGGGTCGTATTTAAAAAAATTAAGTTGATGATGGTTCTGGAGAGACGAAACGCTACATATAAAAATTAATTATATCATTCGATAGAGGGCAAAAAGTGGATTTGAGAAAGTTTTCTTTTTTCAATATAACCTTAAACAAAGCTGAAATGAAACAAAAACGGATTTCAAAAATTTCGTTTTTTTTTTCAAATATTTTGAGAATTAATCATGTTAACTTTGATTTTTTTGAGGCATAATTTTGGTCTCCTGATTGTGCAACTTTGCCCCGATTTAAGCTACTTCGTATCTTACCGTTTCCGAGATCCCTGTAGTGAGAAGCGAATTTGTAACAGCCTGTATAGATATATTAAATTATCGCACCAGGATCATAAAATTAAGCATATTTGAAGAAGAATAAAAAATAAATTATCGCCGTATGGAAAATTTCTAACCAATTTCACCCTGTAACTTTTATGCCATAATCTAAACTTTATATTGGATTCTGAATTCTTAGATATTTCTAAGCAAGAGATGAATTCATCAGGGTTGGCAGTGCCGACACAAAATCATTTACAAAAAAAAATATGTAAAATAATTGTGTTTTCTTTAAATATCCTATCTATGTATACCTATCTACCTATTTATATGGTACATTTTGGTATATCGTAAATGTAATTAATACGAATATGAAAATAGTTGCTAAATAATTAGGTAATTTTTTTCTGCTTTATTCTGCCACTCTGTAAGCTTCAGACATTAAAAAAATTAAAATTTTTCGTTTATTAGTTTTTTCTCTAATCCGTTTACAGTATTTTAAAATGTCTACTTAATTACTTATTATTAAATTACTGAATCTAAAAGTGATAGAACACCCGTGAGGGTGATAGATCTGGTACTTCATAGTGTCTCAGCTGCAATACATATACTATTTCTGTATGTAATCATTCCGCATTTTAATTTGTGTGTCGTTGCTTAATAATCGCTGGATCGACATGCCTACCCTGCATCTCGAAATGCGGAATGCCCTGAAGCCACAGGCGCCACTTTTTGATTTGATAAAGGATTTTCTGAGGGATTTTAATATTTTTTTTGTTACTGTTAAAACACTAAAAAGTGATTTCTACATAATAATGGAATTTTCAAAATCAAATTAATTAATAATGGCGAATAAATTTCTTGCCAGCACAAGGCATAAAAACGTTCCAATAATTATATAATTAGTAACAAGAGAGCATGCATAATTTATTAGAAAAACTTTACTTTTTTGGAACTCTTGCAATAAGTTTGTTAGATCAAGTGGTCTCCCTCATCCAATCCATGTGTGAAAAATGTTGATTTAAACATTATTTTTGCTATTTTAGATTAGGAACTGTAATAGACTGAATACTAAAAATTGAAGTAAAATTAAATTTTTCCCCTATCTATGTTAAACTGTAAAATACGTGGTGCTGCTTTAAAAAAAATCAAGTTATCCATGATTCGTGACTTCTAAGGCCATAATTACTAATTTTATGTTTTAAATGTACATATTAAGTATCAAGTTTTTCATGCTTGAACGAATAGTGAAAACCACATTTTGTCATCGTGTATAGTTTTGGAGATATTTTTGAGGCTGCTGCAAGCGTTAATTTATAATAAGTCGTCAAATAACAGCAGAACTGATTGTTTAGTATCTGTTTTTCAAAGTAAGTTAAATTCATTTAAAATTGCATTAATATATTATATTAAAAAAAATTAAGTTAGGTAATGCCCAAAATTTATTTTGCCCTCCTTCATAATTGCAAATCATTTTAAAATATGGACTTTTATTTAAGACACTTTTTAGTATTATTGATATTACCACAATTAGGAAAAATCCGTTTTAACTGGGGCACCCTGTATAAAGTAGTGACAATAATTTGAAGGTAAAACGGATAATAATGAAACAAATATTATACAGTATTTTTAATTACCCCTTTAGAATTATGACATGGTGTACTCAAATGTGTTTTAAATCACCGTGATTATGGAGATCAATAAAGGGAAGAAATCATGGAAAGTATTAAAAGCATTGAATTTTGTATACTAAAATGATGCTCATTTATTTCAATGAGTGTAATTATTTTCAAGGTAGGGAAAAGTCTATAATTTCATTATTGTCTCTCATCAAATTTTTTCAACAATTTTTAAATATCTGTACAAATCATAGTTTGAAGAATGCAATCGAACGTTAGACCTAAAATTTTAATTTTAATTTTCAATCGATCAATATTTATAGTACATACAGGTCTGGTCATATTTTTATATCCGATACAAAGTTAGTAAATTATATAAATATTTCACCAGTCTCCCCTAATAATTCTGATTCCGCCCCCATATCATTTGTATAACTTTATGCCATCGATGTAAGGGAATAAAAAAATGCCATAAGAAGTGTGCAAAGCCTGCGGTTCTAAGCTCTCCTTGACTATTGGTTTATTGTCTCTGTTTTGCATTAGGCATTTGGGAACAACATACATCTAAGATACGTACATACGGAAGATAGAATACTGGACAATAATTATGTTTTTGATTTATTGCGATGACATAAAAGAGTATAAGCCACGGTCTGGAATTGACAGCAGTGTTGCCATACATACAGTAATTACCCTATTTGTATAATTTTTTTTTACAAGAATGATAAGAGGTTTTGAGAGCATACTAAAGCATTCCAACTTTATTACAAATTATTTATAACCTTATAAAACTAAAACAGTATTCTAAAATAAAATGAGTGGTAATTCTTAAACAAAATAATGAATTATTTTCAAATGCTTATTAAATAAAGCTTATTATTAATTAATAAGGTGTTCAAACAAACCACCTGCTTCAGCTTCACAATACCATAATCTGTCGAAAAGTTCTTGACGAACATTTGAAAAAATTTCAGGAGGATCCTAAAATATTTCTAATTTTAAGCCATAATTCGTCAAAATTTGCGGCTCTTTCATGTCGATGTTTGTAGAGAAGTTGCGTTAAATGACCCCATAAAAAGAAGTCGCAGGGTGTCAGATCTGGAGATCGAGGAGGCCAAGGTATGATACCTCTTGTGGAAGTAAGCCTTTTAGGAAAAGTTTGTTCCAAATAATCTTGAACTGGCCTTGCGTTGTGTGCAGGACATCCGTCTTGCTGAAACCAAATTTCCTCAAAATTTACATCCAAGTTTCGTACATCTGGTACAACACTATTTTGTAATAAATGCAAATGTCTCTCAGCATTTAAGTTACCATCTATAAAAAAGGGACCCACAATATTATCGCCTAAAATGCCAGCCCAAACATTTACCTTTTGAGGGTACTGCGTTCTTAATGGTATACTTAAATGCTTGTTTTTCCGGGACCAATATTGGACCACTGAAGGATTATGCCGGCCAAGTAGGGATAAAGATGATTCGTCTGTAAATAAAATCTGCCTATCAAATTAATTATTTTCATCTATTTTTTCCCTAATGGATTAGAAAACTAATAATAAGAAATAATTTCTTGAGAAGTTTGCATTTTATAGACTTTGTAACCATTATTTTTTAAGATGCGACGAACTGTACGACTTGGAATGTCAAGTTCTTCAGAAATTTGTGACGAAGAACACGGCTCACTTTCTTCTACAAAAGCACAGACATTAACCTCTTTCTCTCCTTGCTTCAGGAATTTGACAAGGTTCCTGATTGCTACATTTCGTACACTGATTAACACATCCACACTCCTCAAACTTATGAAAAATATTCACTACAGTTCTAGCAGTGGGGACTGGTTCGTTGGGGTATAAAAATGTAAATCGACCAACGACTTCCTCTGCACTTTCTTCACAACAATACGATTTAATAATATTATTTTTTTGTTCGACACTGTACACCATTTTTATTTTGTAAATTCCGTCTACTTCTTACTAAAGGTTTGTGTGAAATAATAATAAAAATAAAACTGAACAAACAGCAAAGCACTTTAGGTATTTGGTCGGTTCACAAAAAATACAACGGGGCACGTGCGCTCCCACAGTCAACCAATTACGAGAGTCCGAGTCGCAGCCTCGATGAATATGTCATGTCCGACCCCTTCCACCCGAAGTTGATAGGGGAGATAGTGTAATTTACTTAGTCTATGCGAAATAATTACCTGGCCAGACCGGTATAATAAAATTTCACTAGTCTTCTTAATAAAAAACATTTTTGTAAAGTAATTAAAAAATTTAAGAAAAAGCTGTTTTCATTTACTTTCTACCTTTTTTACTATTAATTTGTTTCTTTGCTAAAAACACATACAAGGTTCCTTAATTGTTTTTGATAGTTGTGGTGTATGTAAAAATAAAAAAATAAAAATAAATCATAAAAATAAGTCATTGTTAAAAAATAGTCAATTAAATATCTGAGAAGATTAAACTATTTTATTTAATAATGATAAGCAAATGTATCTAGACTAAACGGAAGCTTTGATAAGATATCATTACTCTGTGTCAACTAAGTTTCATATCTTGGTTGCGATTTTTTATGAAGTTTATTTACTAAATAAATGTGGGTTTTAAGGAGATTATTATACAGATGAAAAAGAGATCAAAAGATTTCTTTCAAATTCTGGATGCATTAATTTGTTGCAAAAACAATTGTCGTCTAAGTCGTCTATTAAACAAAATTAATATTTTTATGTTCTGTGATGGGTATTTTTAAAATGTCTTATGTTTTAGTGGATGGTATGTTTGGTCGTACACTCCAATCTATGGCACAACAAAAACAACAAATCAGCACCTCAACCACATCATGTTCTACGACCCCTACGACAGGAGTTGTTAAAGAACCAAACCTTATGCCAGTTCCTTCACCCCAACAGATACAGTACCTCAACACTTTCGAGGGGCAAGAATTGATCATTCAAAAACAACCAAACACCAGTTTAAAAGAAGGAAATATTATATCTCCGTGAGTTTTCTGCTTTTTCTTATTTATTTCAAAAGATTTACGTTAAATCGCCATTTTTGAAATTTTGTAAAATTTTGGGCAAAAAAAAAGGTATAAAATATTTCATTTAGAATTAATTACTGCTTGGATATGTTGTATAAAAGGGAATGTTCTCATTGTGTGTTTTAGAATATTTGTACACGAAACTGAAACAAAACAAAAACTTTTTTCTGAATTTTTTACTATTAGGTGCTATACGAACACCTTGCTGCACTGTAATAACTACGTCTTTAAATTCTGATCTTTACAAGTATTGAAAAATATGGACCACTTGAGAGCATTTTCAAGAAAATTGGAGCAGTATTTTCATAAGAATAATGAACATTTGCAACATTAAAAAAAATAGAATATTTTGTGTTACTTAATTTTATAACAATTTTATCATGTAGAATAAACGCAGATCTTTCATCTCATTTATTCACGTTTGTGCTACATGAAAATCTCCAAAAGTTAATTCTAAAACATTTTACAACACTATCGGAAGTTTGTACATTGGAATTACATTTGTAGTAACTGGAAAAACAGACACAATCCGAGCTTGAAGTGAGATATTTGCAGTGGCGTTTCATTTAATCCAGTGTATTGTTGATATACATTTAAGTGATTAGTCACTACTATTGGCCAACATAATACGCAACAGTAATAGTTAACACTGGTTTATAAATTATGAAGTATTGGTAAATGTAGTAAAACTCATTAAATATCTGTATCTTATAATATCAGTCTTTATCGAAATTTTCAGATAATATTGTTTTACTTCTTGTTTTAGATGTATACATATTTTAAAAAGTATGTTTTTTAAACGAAAAATCGCCTATATTTTGACAAAGCGTCCAATCTGGCAATTCAAGGTTCAATTATTGGAGAGATCTAACAGATGTAAAAATAGAATCCTATCTAAAAAATCGATGCACAAACAATTATATATTATACATTATTTAATGATTTCCCTAATTTTTTGTTTAATACCATCCACATAAAATAAAATTTCAAATCAAAATTTAAAATAAGTTTCTGACGAAGGCAAGAAAAGGAAACTACTCCATTCTGTTTCCATCAAAATCATGTCTTATATTTAAAGTTATTTTTAGTAATTTTAACGAAAATAATAAAAAAAAATATGTTTTTAGTAACTTTATGCAATGTAACTTATTTATAATATTAATTTTGTGTGTGGTTTATTTAATAACATAATGAGTGTATAATCGATAGTGTTTACTTGTCGGTAACATTTTTTTAATACAAATATAAGCGGTTCTCTTTTGACGATGATTAGATAAAAGTCAATCTTATTGTTGAAATTTTCAAAACAACCCATCAGATAGTTTCTTTCCAGAAATAATGAAATAGTGGAAAGAAAAAGAATATTGGACTAACTTTATTTAAATTTTATTTATGCTTTCAATGTTTCTAGTGTTACATTCCCTCTTTCAGCGTTTTACCAACCACGTTGGATAGTGGTTTCCCAGGTAACACTCCAGATCTTCCTCATACGAGGGTATCGGGTCCTAACACACCTACTTCTATGGATGTAGGTCCAAGATTTCCCCCCACTCCCTCAGATGGATGTCGCTTCCAGATACCAAGCCCTCATACCCCCACTGCCACTTCAGCAGGTACAGTGCCTATTTTTCTTAAGGAAAGCCATTAAATAACAAGAATTGTATAATAACATTGTTACAGGAGCCCTTATAGGAATTATTTGGTTCTTATTTTTTTACACAGTCCTGCTTCATAACATGCTAAATTTAGTTCAGCACATTAAATTTATGTACATCAGTGTGCCCTAGGATATAATTTTCTGTAGGTACATAAGAAACTGTATTTAAATATTTCTAAATCAGTTCTTTTTTAATATGTCCCACTTCATTCCACAGAGGCTTTATCTTTGTTCAGTTACATATTCCTTGTAGTACAGTGTAAATTCGATTATCCGGCGTAAATCGGACCAGCGGTGATCTGGATAATAGAATTGTATAATACGTATTTCAAGAATTTTATTTCATTTACGATGCCTTTCTATTATATTTTACAAACACACAATTTAAAAAAATTAAATATTTTTATTTTATGTAATGTACAGGGCTATTCACATAATATTCTACCCCTCTTATGTTTTTACTTTCATATTAGAAAGACCATCATAGGCCAAGTTAGAGGAAAGGACCCCGCACAAAATGAATGGAAATTGGTCCTGCTAGATTTGGTTGGAATTGTGATATGTTATAGTTCTCGACATTCTGATGTCAAAGTTGTCACGGGCCCAAAGTGATCCTATGAATAGTTTCAGAGATATAGAGGGGGAAGTGTATGATTTTGGCTGTAGGACTGAGCAAGCTTCACGAAGTTTCAAGTTGATGGATTCAAAAACTGAGGCATGTAATGAATTTTGACCAGTAGGTACAATGCTTTTGGGATCGCCAAACCAGAATTCATGGATAGCTTAGCTATCTAAGGTCACCTGGAGGTCAGGTAAAGGTCGGTTTCAAGGTCAATCTGAAGAAGAGAGTTGTATTGAATTTTGACCAGTGAGTGTATAGGTTTTTGAACTTGCAGAATCTGAATCTCGAGATAGCGTAACCCTAAAGGTCACCTTCAGGTCAATTCAAGGTCATTTCAATATGAAACTAAAGAAAAGGATTTTATTGAATTTCAACCAGTGTGTATATAAGGTTTTTTGGGGGAACTGAATTTGGGGATAGCTTAACCCTACAAGGTCACATTTAGGTTATGTCAAGATCATTTCAAGGTCATAGTAAAGAAAAGGCCTTTCACGAATGTTAACCTGTAAGTAAGTATGCTTTTGAGGTCGCTGAACCTGAATTCGCGGATAACTTAGCCCTATAAGGTCACCTGGAAATCAAGTCAAGGTCATTTTATTTGACTTCATCTCAATTCAAACCCCGTAGGTGACCTTATCCCGGGCTAAATGTGACCTTGTAGGGCTAAGTTATCCCCAAATTCAGTTCCCCTCCAAAAAAAACTTATATACGCACTGGTTGAAATTCAATACAAGCATTTTCTTTAGTTTCATCTTGAAATGACTTTGAATTGACTTGAAGGTGATCTTTAGGGTTACGCTATCACCAGATTCAGATTCTGTCAGCCCAAAGACCTATACACTCACTGGTCAAAATTCAGTACAAGTATTTTCTTCAGTTTGACCTTGAAACGACCTTTACCTGACCTCCAAGTGACCTTAGATAGCTAAGTTATCCAAGAATTCAGGTTCAGCAATCCCAAAAGCATTGTGCCTACTGGTGAAAATTCATTACGTGCCTCAGTTTTTGAATCCATGAACTTGAAACTTCGTGAAGTTGCTCAGTCCTACAGCCAAAATCACACACTTCCCCCCCTCCATATCTCTGAAACTATCCATAGGATCACTTTGGGCCTGTGACAACTTTTCATCAGAATGTCGAGAACTATAACATATCACAATTCCACCCAAATCTAGCGGGACCCAATTTCCATTCATTTTGTGCGGAGTTCTTTTCTTGAGATTTCAAAACTGTTCTTAGACAAACAATATAATGTTAGAGATACAAGCCAAACCTATACATTTTTTTTTAACAACACCCTATACATTTTTACGTATTTGGACATAGCATTATGTTGATATAAGGTTACACAGGTTTATCCCTTACAATAAGAGATTATGACCAAAGGAGTCTGAAAGATTTATTATTAGCATACTATTTTGGTCATATCTTCCTTAATGTTAGAGATAGATCTATCAAACCTTATATTATTTTTCTCTTGGGAAAGAGTATTATTCAAATATGTATGTAAAATTGTACCGTGGGTTCTTTTTAAAGAAAACGGGTTTAACAAACACATTCAACATTAAAACAAGCTGTACGCATGTGCTATCGATCACTAAATTTGCATCATGCTGAAGTTAATAGTTTAGAGACTTAATAAAAATAACTTTTTAATTTTCACCTTTGAGGGCCCGTAATTTGTTAACGAAGGCCCATATGAAAAAAATTTATATGAAGACCTGATATTATTTTGACCTCATCAATAGATGAGGTACAAATATGTACTCGATTTTTTTGTATCAAGTACCGGGACACCCTTTATATCTCCAAAATAAAAACCACTATTTTCTTAAAATTTCTATATATTATGCAAAACAGTTAACTAGTTAATATGTTTTGAAATGGTTTACTGAAGATATTTGTTTTTATCCTAAGCATGCAAAGTGAAGAGTTAATACATTTGAAATATTTAGATAAGTTGTTGTAAAGCAGAGACTATATAGAAAAATAGGATACAAACTATAACTGTACAGGGTGTCCCACCACGAACTCCATCGATGGATATCTGGGAAACTGCTGGAAAGATTTTTTTGAAATTGTGATGGTGTGATATGGACCGTGGGGCCTACCAAGCTAAAATATTTTCGAGGTCATCATATTTCTGGTAATACTGGAAGTCGATGCTAACTTTCTTATTTTAAATGGAACCTCCTGTATATTATTGCATTTTTGGAAAGAACATCTATTTTTAAGTTGAAAACATGTAACACACTGTATACTTAGGATTGACCGTTTCCGAGATATTTTGATTTTTATGCAAAAATTGACAGATGCAGACTGTCAGCAATATTTAGTTTTCCCGGAAACATAGGTTTATTTTTTTGTGCAAATTGGACATTTTGTAGAGGAAGACCTAATTTATCGAATTTAACATGAAAATTTTCCAGTTTTTATACAGGGTGGTCAAAAAAAATAATCGAATATGAAGTTCAGAAAATGTGGAAAACTCAAAATTTTTATATGGAAACCCCTAATTTTTATAACGTATTTGCATTCTGCACTAAAATTTAGTATAACTTTGTTAAAGCTTCCCTATACCTAAACCCAGTGGTTTTCATTTTATTTACGAATAAACATTTCCCTTTTCTTAAAATGATGCTTCCATTTGTTTCCCACATTTTAGGTTGGCCGTGACAGGTAAGTAACAATCAACATGTCAACTGTCACAGGTTTTTAATTGTCAAATTTATTTAGTTCCTTGTAGGTCGCTGCTCTAATAGAATCCGGTGATAGAGGCTATTTTATTTGGGACACTAAAAAATAATGTGTATAGTACTCCAGTAACAATAAAGGAAAATTGTATGCATAGAGTAAGGCGCAAGCATTTGAGCATTACCGGATTCTATTAGAGCAGCGACCCACAAGGAACTAATCCGAAAGTGTGAAAAATGTTTAGAAATGAGAAATTGAAGGAAGACATTTTGAACATTTATTAAAATAAATTTGACAATTAAAAACCTGTGACAGTTGTCATGTTGATTGTTACTTACCTGTCACGGCCAACCTAAATTGTGCGAAACAAATGGAAACATCATTTTAAGAAAAAGGGAATGTTTATTCGTAAATAAAATGAAAGCCACTGGGTTTAGATATAGGAAAACTTCAACAAAGTTACACTTAATTTTAGTGCAAAATGCAAATACATTAAAAAAATTAGGGGTTTCCATTTAAAAATTTTGAGTTTTCCACATTTTCTGAACTTCATATTCGATCATTTTTTTTTTATCGACTGGAAAATTTTCGTGTCAAATTTGATAAATTAGGTCTTCCTCTACAAAATGTCCATTTTGCACAAAAAATAAACCTAAATTTTGCTGAGTCTGCGTCTGTCAATTTTTGCATAAAAATCAAAATATCTCGGAGACGGTCAATCCTAAGTATGGAGTGTGTTATATGTTTTCAACTTAAAAGTAGATGCTCTTTCCAAAAATGCAATAATATACAGGGGGTTCCATTTAAAATAAGAAAGTTAGTATCGACTTCCGGTATAACCGATGACCTTGAAAATATTTTAGCTTCGTAGGCCCCACGGTCCATATCACACCATCACAATTTGAAAATAATCCTTCAAGCGGTTTCCAAATATCCATTGATGGAGTTCGTGGTGGGACACCCTGTATAGCATTATTAAGCAATTCATGTTATTTAATAAATTTACTTTCCATATTTATGAGATGATTTACGTTTTATATATTTTACTTCTATAGCTGACAAGCCCCCTCAGAGGCATCCTGGACCGACAGGAGCTCCAGGCCTAAGTCCTCAAACAGTACCTGGTCCAAATTCAGATCCCCTTAAAAATGATCTTTTCCCAACACCAAGCCCTCACATGATGGATGTACCACGTTTTGCCGGACCAAATGCTTCTCCGGGTGCTAAAATGGGAGGAGGATTTGTGAATGTGTCCCCACAAGGGAAACCCTTAGATCTTCCTAATTATGGGTGCGTCAGAGGAGACAACGTTCCGCTGAATCCTAATTGTACAAGCACAATGTCTGGTAATCCCAAAGTTTCACATTTCGATCCAATTTCTTCATTAGCACAAATGAGTCAGCAACTTACGAATAGTGTTGCAAGTTCCTTAAATGGCCAAGGTAACCAAGGTCCACCCATGATGAACTTTGGTTCCCCTTCCATGCATATTATGGATATGGGTGGTTGTCATGGAATACCAGATATAGATCAAGGACCGGCGAATATTATGGGCATGTCGATGCAAGGCCCTCCGCATGGATTTCATCCCAATTCACCCATGGGCCCCATAAGATCTCTTTCACCTAAGTTAACCGGTGCTTTTCCTAACCACATGCCTATGCCACGGATGATGGGGCGTCCACCCGGACCAAATCCTTATAATGGAGCTAATGTTCAAGTAAAGCCTAATGCTCCTAACACTATACAGTACTTGCCAGCTAAATCTCAAGTAGGACAAGCACCAGGTCCTCGAGGACCACCTAGTTTAGACTTCTTAACCCGCCTTGCAACACCTATGAACATGATGGAATCTAAAATGCAATCTCAGAATCTGCAATATTTTCCAAACTGCGGCCCTAATAATGGACCTATGCAAGGAGGACCAATGCCACCTCATATGCCACACATGGACGGATCCATGCCTCAAGACGGGAGTATGGGTCCAATGGGTCTAGGAAATCATATGGGAAACGGCGCACCTATGGGTTCGATGGGAGGTAACATGGGAATGCCAGGAGGAATGGTACCGATAATGAGGGGGCCCATGAGGCCCCCCATGGGTATGAGAATGCCCCAAATGGTATTCAATGGACCTCCAGGTGGTCCTGGAGTCCCCGATTCCATGTTTAACCCAGGCCCTAGCATGGGAAATCCTTCGGCCCAGATGTTTGTAAGCGGGCCTAAAGGTAGTCCAATGGGTATGGGTACTCCCGATGCTAGCCAACCACTCCCCCCTTCGATGGGACAGAACAATAGCTTTAAAAATTCACCCTTCGTCGGGCCCACTACGGCGGACCCTAACTATGCACAACAGTTCCACAACTTCCAACAACAGCTGTACGCCACGAGCACCCGCAGTCAAATGGGTGGCCAAGCTATGGGGCCGGGGCCAGGACCCCCGCATATGCAGCAGCCTCCGTACTTTAATCCCAAATAGCATATATGGTGCTGAGTGTGTGAGTCAGAGTATTTTGTTTTATTTTTGATATTACTAATGAGTAATCCGGCAATAATAAGATTGTGAGATTGTAAAATATGTGTTACGCATCGAATTCAAGTGCAGTTAAGGGTCATGTAAAAAGTCGCCTGCCTGAGGGCTCAGTTTGCCTAAATACTTAATGCTATTCTGGATTTGTATATTTGCCATAAATAAACTAGAAAGACTATTAGTTATAATATTAAGTGTTGGACTTGCTTGGTCCTTTTTATGACGGAGGTTTCACTATTGCTCATTAATTTGTTTCTATCCATCTGTTATTCGTTTATTGTACATTTTATGAGTATTCATAATTAAAATGATAATAAAATTCTATATTATATATCCTGTGCTTTTATTTTTCACTTAATATGAGCTTATCACGCAGGAACATTTTAAAGCTAAAAACTTTAAACATCACTGAAGTTATAAATAACAATGACACGTTATTGGAAACTAGAATGTTTAGTTTAGGTTTTGCTAGCATTTATATTTCCAAAAGATAGCATTTTTAAACTTAAAAAGTTTGTGTGATATTTCATCGTAAACTTCCACTTTGTCTCATTTAAAATGAAAAATTAGACAAATACAATTCTCACCTAAGTTCAGTTTTTCATGCATTTCATTGCAATCAAATCAAATGGAGTGTCAGTTTTGTAAAAAAGAAAGGTAGATTTAAAATATATCAGCCTGTTTTGTTCATCGTTCTCTGGTACTCTTGAAAATATTCGAGTGTCGTAACATAAAACCACAGACAAAATAGCTATCGCCACAGACCGCTCCTGGAATAGGCCAGCAGTTTTAAATTTCCGAATTGCCGTTAGAGTACACCCCAGCAGAATTTTAGGAAGAATCAAATACAGCGGCCCGCATACCTAAGCGTATCCTAGCAACATATAAACAAGACTTTGGTAATGTTGCCAGGCATTCTTACGGATTTCTTTTGTACACTTTTTTATCAATATCTGTTTTTTGCGTTACTGTATTTACTTAAATGTATGATGTAGGTATTGATAAAAATGTTTTTAAAGAATCAACGAATATATATGTATATATCATATGATATTCTGCAGTGGTGTTACAATTAAGTTATTTAATCATAATTTCGTTAATTAGCTACCTACTATTTTCATTTTTTGGTATTGAAATACTGCAGAAAATATATTTCCAAATAAACAAAATTCGTAATAATATTTTAAACAGCTTGTAATATAATTTTTTTAATATTTGATGACGATAAATTTATTTAATATACAAGGTGGGTTATTAGTACGTCGCGGAATGTAGGTACAGTTTTTTTTTGTATTTTGACATCCACTTATAGGTTTAATAATTAAAGATAGAAAGAAACTTTAAATACAAATGTACGACTTTTCCTTTATTTCATTTGACATCAAAATTTACTGGCATAAAATATATATGTTTAAAATAAAAAAAATCATTAAAAAAAAATTAAAATTCATCCTTATGAAAATAACAAACAACGCTTTTTATAACTAACCTTTACAACAACATAAGGAGAATAACTAAAAACGAAATAACATTAATATACCTACAATTTTTACAAATCAACATGCAAGTGATTGTGATGATACAGTTGAAAATATGTTTCAATTTACTATTAATTGCTTCAAAAACAAATTCAAAATTATCAAGCATTTCGTCCTGTATTTTTTTCAATACTTGCAAATTTTCAGGTAAAAAAAATATGTCTAAAGGACTGACAATGAGATCGGGGCTGTTTTCTGGCCACCTAAGGTTTCTAATAATATTTTTTAGTGTTCGTTGACGGGATTCTTCCTCCAAAATAAATTTGCCAATATTCCTGAAGAACTTTTGCACATTATTGTTATTTGAATAATACAGTTAATTATGTTTTATTTTTCGTCATCAGAGTAACCCATTGTAATTTTTTTAATTTTTTAAATTAAAATGGGTTATTCTAATAATGATAAATCCCATGTATTTTTAAAAGAAGGTCGTTTCTGTCGTTTTTGTCTGATTGTGTGCGAGAGAGATAAAGTTACAGTGTGCGATAGAGATACAGTGACTTTGTCCTCATAGAGAGCTTATCTCTCTCTCTCTGCTGTGTTCAGGAGTCTCCCCAGCAATTTCAGGACACCTAGGGAGGGAACGTGGGGTAGAGCGCGTGGCCTTGTTAAGCCTTCGTTATCGATCTATGATGTCACACAGTATAAGAAAAAAAAATGGTTTTTGCTCGTAACTCGGAAATGGCTGGAAATATAAACAAATTTCCCCTTGGTTCTGAGTAGAGCACTCGGTGGGTGACGCAGAGCGGGGTGTCACAATATATGAAAGAAAAAAAAAACAGTATTTGCTTAGACTCTTATGTATCAAAAAATCTCCCATGGTGAACGAGTGAAAAACGTCAGAACCCGCATGTAAAAAAAAAAATCGGGACCAACGGTGTGTGACGTCATAGGATAAAAAAGTGTTTATAACTCGGAAACGGTGCGTTAAATCGAAAAAAGAATTGAAAAATGTCAACCCCTCCCTCCCGTGTTCTGTATGTTCCTTCTGTGTTGAATGCAAAAGGTCCGAAGTCCGTATGTCGAAAATAAATTCTGGAAACAAGAGGTATGTCGTGTTATAGTAAAAAGGCCGTATAACTCGGAAACGGTGCGTTAAATCGAAAAAATAATTTAAAAAATCTCCCCACTCTTCTGGTTCTGATTGTCCGTTCTGCGTTGAATGGAAACGGCCCGAAGTCAGTATGTCGAAAAACAAAAAAGTTAGTTAGTTAAAAATTGCAACAGCAGTAGCGAACGCATTATCTTATCTCTGTATTGATTGATGATTTGTGTTTTGTTTTTTTAAATAATTTCGTATTCAACTACTCCTTGAGGTTCCAGCAATTTTACATTGTGTTAATTTTTTTGAACACCTTGTGTCACAAATATGGGCACTACCAATTACATCCATAATATGCAACACTTGTGTCAATAAATAATTATTTACCTATCTAAAGAAATCAACAATAAGAGGCAGTACCCATCTAAGCATACACAATCTGTATAATGCAATTTTTTTAAATATAGGTTTTGATATCGTACCATATTGGAAGTCGACGCACAAATCTAAAAACATTACTTTCGAGTTTTTGAATTTTCCCATTCCAAGGTGATATAAAATAAATAATTAATTAGGTAAATTCATAGTTTTAATTCTAACTTGATTTATTTTATTTAACATTTAAGGCAAATGTGATTTCCAAACACAAGATAAGTTCTTTATCTCTTTAATTACATAATTGAAAGCATTAAATTTATTTAGCAGTTATTATTTGGCAACAAAGCCACCGCTGGAACTGCCGTCTATTAGCAAGTAGAAGAGTTACCACGCTAAATTTTATAGCTGGAACCCGGCTAAGGAGACCCTGCTTCCATTTCGGGTTGCCAATTTCCAGCATTTAAGTAGCAGTCTGTAGCAATACGCTATATTGTCTGTGATAAAACTATTTATTCAGTAAACTCTAAATAGTTATACTGTTAAGTTTCAAATCTGTTGTTCTTGTAGAAAACACACTTGTGAGAACAGCTCCCTTAAATATGTACAATATTTTTTCAATGAAGGTAAATTATGAACATCATATAAACCAACAATTCAATTCTATTGGCTCTTTAATCTTTTCGACTCGATACGGATACCTGGATAGAGAAACATATTAAAATACAAAATAATGATCATGAAACATGCATTTAATGAATTTTTATTTATTAGGTACTAATAATTTGCGATCATTTTCTATACTTAATCACTTTATGTTCCTTATTTGTCCTTTATTAACAACATATGTTATCAATATTAAGTTTTACCAAAATGTTAAGGAATATGTATTACATGTTAACAAAATCCCTCCATTATGAAATATATTTTATTCAGCATCCTATTAACTAGAAAAAAAAGATTAATTTGGGGGTGCACATTTTTACGAAGCCATAGAAGGTCCATGTCTAAAAATTTTTTAAATTTAAACAACTAAACTTTAAACTAAACTTTGAATTCAGACTATAAACTCTGAATTCAAACTTTCAACTCGGAATTCAGACTTTAATTTCTGAATTTAGACTTTAATATGCGAATTCAGACTTTAACCTTTGAATTCAGACTTTAACCTCTGAATTCAGACTTTAGACTCTGAATTCAGACTTTAACCTCCGAATTTAAGGCATTGAGTAGCAAAAGGATATAAGTATGTACCTACACTTACATTATATATATCACACAGATACAGGATGTCACAGAGTAAGCGTACAAAAATTAACTGGGTAGTAGGTTCGGTCAAGATATGACTAAAATTCTTACAAAATTTTCTCTAACAGACGCACACACCGAGTTAGTTTTAAATAAGAAAAATATATATTTTTCGGCCATAATTTAACGATCAATTTTAAATAAGAGAAGTGCACATTGCACAATGTGTTATCAAAGTGTCTAATTATTAAGGGCCCAAAAGTTAGGAACAGATATTTGTCAAGATAACCCTAATGCCAAAATAATGTCGCATAGTTTTAATGGTCCTGAAGAACACTTTACCCAAAAATCAATTTAACCCTTGAGGGATGTTTAGGTTTTGACTGAAAGTTGCTATTATTTTCTGAATTTAGCACCTTAGATCCCTCAGAAGAATTTTTGGAGAATTTTGCTTGTAGTCAAACTGAACTTGCACTTGAAACTAATGGAACATTTTTACATTGGAACAAAAGTCAATAATTCAGAGATTAAATTCTGAATTCAGAGTTGAAAGACTTAATGCAAATTTAAAAGTCTGAATTCAAAGTTTAATGTCAGAATATAGAGTTTAAAGTCTGAATTCAGACTTTAAAGTCTGAATTTAAAAAATTTTGAGACATGGCCCCTTTTACGGCTTCATACATTTTTGCAGAGACTTATAAATAAATATTTTTACTACCGTATATAAAACTAATTATGACTTACTCTCATTGAAATAACTAAGGCAATGGAGTTATCTACATACATAATTTAATATGAGCGCTCTAGGCTGCATGTCATCAGAAGACCTTTGTGCAAACAAATACATAGTGTATTGAGTAAATCATTGCGAAATATAATTTGGATACATATATATATTGCATATAATCTGTAGGATTTGCTATGTATTTTGAAATCCTTCCTTATCTACAGCAAACTCTACTTTTAAGAAAAATATTGATAGTGTGATGATGCCGAGGAAATCTAAAAAATGTCAATTTTAGGTATTCGCGAATGCGAATGCGAATGTGAATATCTGTCGTCAATATTCGCGAATGCGAATGCAAATATTCAGTTTTTTTACCTA